TTTTTGTTACAAGACTTCTACCTTTACAATTGTGACATTCACAATTAGTCATGATAACAATTACTCACTGTTGAATCACAAGAATCTTATCTCCATCTCTTTTCATCAGACCCACTGACTTTCTTCTTAAGTGATGACTTGGTCCATTGCTGAAAGAAAGAATGATACAGGAAAGAGGAAGAATGTTTGGGTGGCTACCGTAGTCAGATGTTCTGAAGGCAGAGCTAGTAGGATTTCCTGATGAATAAATGTAGGGCAGCAGAGAAAACAGGTGCTGGGGTCAGTCGTTTTTGTGGGGTGGCATGGCCATCAGCCAGGACGAAGAACACTGCAGGAAAGAGTCCTTACGTGTATGTAAGACACCCAAGTAGGGCTGTTGAAAAGACAAGGAGAAATAAGATCTGGGAGACACACGAATGAGAAATCCACATTTACAAGTCATCAGATACTTCTTCCAATTAAATCCTAAGCATGAGTGAGTGCTGGAAGTTTCCTTCCCAAGTTTTATTAAAAAGAAAAAGGAAAAAAAAATCCAAGCATTCAGAAGACCTGAAAGAACAGTTCAACAATCACTTGTATACCTATCATAGACAGTCAACGATGGTTAACATCTGGGTACCGTGGCTTTCGGTGTGTTTTAGAAATCACGTGACACTAGACTGAAGACACCATGATACTGCAAATCTTCGGGATGAATCTCCTAGTAGGAAAAGTATTTCCTTTAAAAGCACGGACCATGGCGGCAGGCGGGAAAGATGGGGAACGGGGAGAAGCTGCCTCCAGGCTGGGAGAATCAATGGTAACAAAAACTGGGCAGGGGGAAGTCTATCAGGGTCTCCTGTTTGCACTTGCTGGCAAGCACAGCCCATCATAGCAGCCCTCGTCCTGGTGGCAGGAGAAGGGCACCCAAACCAAAGAGGAGGCCCTGGAGCTCGTGAATGGCTACATCAAGATCAAGTTGGCAGAGGATGACCTGGGAGTCTCTGGCCTCACAATTCAGTGACTGCAGCTCAATCAAAGCCAGGGGAGACCTGGGTGCCTTCATTAGAAGCCAGTCAAAGATGCAGTGTTTGCGCTGTGAATGGAAGATGAGCGGGTCCATGTTCGAGGACTCCAGCTTCTGCATCATCCTGTGCGCAGAGGCCAAGCGCAGTCCGGCCCACTGCCCGGCTCTCCTCCTTTGCAAAGTGACAAAATATAGACTGGAGGGGGCTCTGGGGCCCCTATCTGCTCCCTGTTGGGGTGATTCCTGCTAGACTCCCCTCTCTGCATCTTAAGGAATTGACTTCAGAAAGATTGTGGGGGAGGGAAGGGTGGGGGAGGGAAGGATGCTTCCAGAGGCAGGGACAGGCAATGACCTGTCCCAAAGAGGAGGCTTAGTCCTCTGAGCTGCCCCCCTGCCCCCTAGGTCCAGGAGAGCAGGAGAGCCTTGGAGAGGTGGTTTCTAGTTATGCCATATTCCTTTCTTCAGTTGCCAAAAGTAGATGCTTGACTTGGGGGCGTAGGGTGGCCTGGCCCGGCTGACCCTCCTCCACTCAGCACGTTAACTGTTGGTTCATGGAGAGGATTGCTACTCTGTATCCTGGGGAAGAGGTCCAGAAGATAGACAAAAAGTTATTCATGGATACCCCAAGAGATTCCTGGTGTGGCGCTGTATAGGACTACTTACAGTAAGGTCGGCAGCTCAAACCATCAACCACTCCTTAGAAAATAATGAAGCTAAGTGTACTTCATGTAAAATTGTAAAAAGTATTTACTGTAAAGCTGATGATATGCTCTGTAGAGTGTCACTCAATTCACAATAAAAATTTTGGAGATAAAAAAGAAAAAACCGCCCACAGGTCATCATTACAGCTAAGAGCAAAATTCAGAAGGATTCAGAGGACAAATGGAAATGGGCAACACCGGGAGGAAGTTGAATGAGTGATGTCACACGGAGGGGACTGTAGTCATTGAGATGAAATGAAGTGTGTGATTTATTGAATGTAAAACGGATGATCTGCTCTGTGAACCTTCACTCAACTCCCAACACAAAGTTTCTTAAAAAGTTCATGGAAAATGAAACAGAAAGTTAATAAAAAGTTTTCCATGAACTTTTTAAAGCCCCCAAAACTTGTCTGAGTCCAACGTGATCAGAAGTGGCAGAGTCAAAATTGAAGCACAAGCCCTCTAACTCTGGAGTTTATGTCTGAATTACCAAACATAGTACAAAAGGCCATCTCTATTTTGAATTCTATTAAAATAGAGACTGTTGTATTTTCTTTTCTCTCGACTTTTATTTGAGTACAACATTCAGACCAATGTGACTTACGGTGCCAACAAACATTCTTGTCTTGTGAATTTTAACTGAAGTGAAGTCTCTAATGTCTGACTATGAAGTCTGATAATGTTGGCTGCGCTTACAAAGGAAACTCTTACAACACGAGGCTACTAATAATGATGCTTATTGTCCCAAGATGACAATGAAACCCAACTCTTTGGCAAAGAGAGCTAAATCACACTTTTATTGATAAGGACGCTTGTTTCAAAGATTTTTTCCAATCACATTTATAATCAGGTAACACATCCACACTTTCTTGTGGGGAAAATGGAAGTACTAGTTGTTTTCACGCTGACAAGAGAAACATGATCCTCTACATAAGGCAAGGATTCGTATCCAAGCAATTAGACTCATAGGAAATAGATGTACAGTGATCCGTTCAGCAGTTTACTTTAAAGATGTGCAAACAACCAAAAGATGTCCCCTTTTGTGGACTGATACACACTTCAACAAAGACAAGGGGACTTCCAAAAATCTGTAAGAAATTTCCTTAACTTTCATTCCATTTTTACGCAAACTTTTTTGAAGCCACCTTTGGATAACGTACAACTGAAAGAATTGTGTGTTTCCAGAGGAATTAAGACTATGTATACCAGGAGTCCCGGTGTGGCGCTGTGGGTTAATGCGCCAGACTGCAAAGCCATTTGAACTGCAAGGTCAGTGGTTCAAGCTCACCAGCTGCTCCTCGGAAACCCTATACATG